TATATATATATATATACATTAGATTGCATTGGTGCACACTGATTCCTGCCGAAGATCAACATAACCTGAATCGACCCAAAGTCTTTAAGTCTTGGCGTGTCACAGGAAATGGAATAGAAGCATTTGCTCACCTACAGGGAAGGCTTTGCGCTTGAGGTGGACCACTTTGTTGATATGTACCGTATTGTGGTCTTCAACAAGGTGCTGGTATTCATCAAAGCAAGTGGTTAGGGCTTCCATGCCGCACTATTGGCAGAGCGCAGAAAGCACGCAAACTTTTTGGCCGAATCGGCATAACCCGTAAGGTTAGGCTATATCAGGTAAGTTAATTCTCTCGGAAGCCATTCGACGAATCTCAGTATTGCTGAGGTTGGTTCTTACCAGACCCAGCCAATACTTCAGAGACCTGGGTTACCGAACGGCGAGAGTCCTCTTGTGTTCTCTGTTCGCGGTGGCCATGTTTCTACCATGTTTGTTTAGTGTAATGGAGCGCACCGTATTCTTCTTGTCATTGAGAGAAGCCCATCTTATGTCAAGTTTATAGGTGTCTAATCCCCTCACTAACTTGGGGTTATTGTAACTATCTAAGGGATCGAATTTTTTTCACCACGCCCTGATCTTCAAACATAAGGTTTGATTTGTTCTAGCTTTCGATACTTTAAGAAATACCGAGGTGCCTTTCTTACTTCTCAGAATAATACCTCCTTTTTCGTTCATTGGATTAGCAGAACTCTTGGCATCCACAAGGCAGCTCACGTTATGTTTTTCTATTTTCGATTGTAGGCGCCAGTGTTTCTTGCTCGTTCGTCGTATGGCCATTTTCATACCTTCGGATCAGTTGGAAAAAGTCAGCTTGTTTCAAACCCAAACACTGCCTTTCTCCTTTTTGCTAACCCAACTCATCCATAAAGTGTTCATTGAGGTGAGTCACCGTCTGGTCATCCTCCATAATGCCTTTCTGGGCTACTCCCAATCAGATGGCGAGATGGCTCAGTGGTTACTGACTGGGAGGTCCGTGGTTTGATACCGACCTCTGCCTCTCGACTCCCCCTGTCTAGGTTTGGGCAACTTAGCAGTATCCTGGCCTTCGTGCTTCCTTTTGGTGGCATGGCACGTAGGCACCGAAAGGGTGTTACAACTGAACGATTTTTTTATTCCTAACTAGGTCTCCCCTTCTGCACATGCACCACTTACACACTCCATTTCCCGTTATTTGTTTGTTTGCACCATTTTCTGACCGTTTTTGCCTTACATTTCCGGTGCACTGGTTTCCAACTCCAAAAGTGCGAACCGGAAAATCTGCCTCCTCTTCGAACCATAATGAGTGGCAGAGGTGGCGTTTCAGTTGTCCTTCTAGCATTGCACTGCACAGATCGCTAGCTATAAGTCGTTTTACCCGAGTGCACTGGCCAAAGAATGAGTTTGAGGGGATGCAGCTCCCCTCAATGAGGTTGTCCATTTTTGTGTTACACAAGACTAAGTTGGTCGTGGATCATTTTTTTCTATTCATATTGAGGTCTTTCAGGAAACGCCTATATTCTCTAGTTTGGTAGCTCCATAAGGCTTGGTATCTCAGTCTTTGTCCATCCTTTTACCTCGAAGTTTTGGTGGAGAATGGTGGTAAAAACCAACTCGACTAAAGAAATTGGTATTCATTGTGGTGACCGTTCTAGGGTTTCGGTCATTACTTAAAAACTGCAGGATTGGTGGTTGTTCCGGGACTCATCTAGTTGTATGTACGCCAGTTTGTGTCAGTCCAACGGACGGAGCCGGGTTTCTTCCTGATTTCGGTAGACTTTTCTCGATAGCACAAACCTAACGCTCATTTATTCGTACGCATTCACGTGTTTGGCATGAAATCACTTGGTATGCTATCCATCCCGGCCACGTTCAAAGTTATTCGGAATCTCATGTTCCTCGATATTGACCATCCATACGATTCGATGATACGAATTAAAAATGTCGCTTACGCTGGCTGGTTTGTACAACAACCTTTTGGTGCCATGCCTCCATTATCATTTTGGACTATCCTAGGTCAAGCCTAACTCGCTAGGAAGTAATGTATTATTCCCATTGGATTTAATGAGTAGACAAACTACGGCCGTTCTCATTCATACCAACCTGCATTTTGTATCTCGAGTACCGTATAAGGTTGCAGAAATGTGAAGAATGAGGTGTGCCGTACAGGATGACGTCACAGTTTGTTTACAAAATATTCGCCCAGTTTTCTACTAAATCTTTTTCAAATTTTTTTCCACTCAAAAGTGGCCGTCTGTCAGGTGGTCTCTTCATACAAGGGCAACAATTTTAGGTTTTCACTGACTAACATGATTCATAACGATCAGAGGATGTTGTATTTGTTGACTCTGGCTGTTGCTCCCACTGTGGTGTTCTACAGGAAACGGACGAATACGTCCTACGTGCTCTGGAGCTGAGTCATTGTCTTCTCACCAAAGCTGCTTCCGTGTACGTGCCAGCGTTCTTCCGCTTGGGTCTTGTCCCATTGATCAAACAGCTCGGAGATATCTGGTCCCATCTTGTTCCTTTGGAAGATCCTACAACACACGACACTGATCTGATGGTTGTAAATGAAGAACAGAGTCTGATCAAACAACCTGCCCCTGAGAGTGTAGATGGCAAGAAAGAAGAGTCTACTTCTGACATAGTGAATCCACCAGAAATGCCTGTAAGTATAGTTTTTTGATTAATAGTGTTCACTTTGTGTGGATTTGTTCCTACGAGCGTTTCAGGCCTGTGTACTGACCAGATGGACGTGCTAACAACCTCAGTTATCTTGGCAACGGTTGCTGGGAGAAGTAAAACAGTGTTCCGTTTATGGTAAATTTTAGCTTCAGCATTGTTGCTTTGCTTGCGCCACTCCCACTCATCTTCTCATCCGTTAGCAAAGCTAAAGCAGCTGGAAGGGCTGATGATGTGAGCTAAGTGCCACCCACA